CATTGTACATGCGTTTTCTTACAATTGCATTGTGCTCTTGCTCTTCCTTTCTTGATCTTCGCCATCTTCTGCTGCCGGACATTACGTTCTTTTAACGCACGTTATATACTACTTATATCAATATAAGTAGCTCACACCACACTCGTCCCCCCCATAAAGCAGTCGTTCTTGTGGTGGTTCATGCTCGCCGTGCAACATTCTCCGTCTCTGCAGTCTGTGCCACGCTCTCCGTCGAGATGTCGAGTCTGCGGCGCGCTGACTTCCACAGCTCTGTCGACCTGCCGGGGTAACAACCACCAACACCCACCCGGCACCTGGGACGCTTGACACCCGCACTCCACCGGCCTGCTGAGCCATCTACATCCGATGTCCGCCCAGCAGCCGCGCGTCCCGACACTCCACTTCGTCGACAGCACCCGCCACAGCCAACGCAGCCCCGCCAGGACACTTCGCCAGACGCCACCTCTCCGCACCAGACTGCCCCAACTGGCACCTCAACTCCAGGCCCGCAACGGCGTCCGCAGAACAGCACACTCCTCCTCTCCTGGTTGGCAGCGACACCAAATGTAGTGAACAAGAACACGGGTGGGGACAATCAATTGTATTTAGCACAGAAATTACAGACTATCTCAATAAAATGTGAATACCATAAAGTCAATCGTCAATTTGCAAAATATCATTCAATCATATCAAACTGTACTGTTCCCGTTGCAAACACTAATCCATTGTCGCCCATTCCATTGTACATGCGTTTTCTTACAATTGCATTGTGCTCTTGCTCTTCCTTTCTTGATCTTCGCCATCTTCTGCTGCCGGACATTACGTTCTTTTAACGCACGTTATATACTACTTATATCAATATAAGTAGCTCACACCACACTCGTCCCCCCCATAAAGCAGTCGTTCTTGTGGTGGTTCATGCTCGCCGTGCAACATTCTCCGTCTCTGCAGTCTGTGCCACGCTCTCCGTCGAGATGTCGAGTCTGCGGCGCGCTGACTTCCACAGCTCTGTCGACCTGCCGGGGTAACAACCACCAACACCCACCCGGCACCTGGGACGCTTGACACCCGCACTCCACCGGCCTGCTGAGCCATCTACATCCGATGTCCGCCCAGCAGCCGCGCGTCCCGACACTCCACTTCGTCGACAGCACCCGCCACAGCCAACGCAGCCCCGCCAGGACACTTCGCCAGACGCCACCTCTCCGCACCAGACTGCCCCAACTGGCACCTCAACTCCAGGCCCGCAACGGCGTCCGCAGAACAGCACACTCCTCCTCTCCTGGTTGGCAGCGACACCAAATGTAGTGAACAAGAACACGGGTGGGGACAATCAATTGTATTTAGCACAGAAATTACAGACTATCTCAATAAAATGTGAATACCATAAAGTCAATCGTCAATTTGCAAAATATCATTCAATCATATCAAACTGTACTGTTCCCGTTGCAAACACTAATCCATTGTCGCCCATTCCATTGTACATGCGTTTTCTTACAATTGCATTGTGCTCTTGCTCTTCCTTTCTTGATCTTCGCCATCTTCTGCTGCCGGACATTACGTTCTTTTAACGCACGTTATATACTACTTATATCAATATAAGTAGCTCACACCACAGAATCAATACTAAAATAACTCTATCAAATGATTAGGTTATCCTATTAAGAGTTTGAAACCAAGTTGATGAGTTCAAAAGGATTGTAGTAATTTTAATAATTGAATTCATGAATTGATGTAAATTAGACCGAAGGTTCTGGGTTTGAGTCCCACAAGCAGGACTATGGATACGCATTGCAGAAGAGTTCTACATTAAGACGAAACATTTGTCCAATCCTTTCAAGTTTTCAATAGTGGTCTAACTTATATCAACTTATAAATTCAACTATTCTAATATCTTATTTTGTTAATTCAGACATGTATCATTTTTCTTATAGTTTATAAATTTTACTCTGTTAATTCACTCAAACTTATCAATGAAAAGAATAATAATAATTAATCAATAGAATTAACAATCCTATAATTACTAAGCGATTTGTAAAGATTAAAAGATGACCCCCAAATGCTCTGGTATGGTCGAGGGTGGGGAGAGTCAGCTCCCCCTCTCGAAATGCTGTCATATGACCACGCGTATACAGCCACTGATAGAGAAGTCCTATTCACCGCCTCCTCGCAACATTACTGTTGTTTACGAAACTGGAAGGACGAAAAGTGAATGTCTGGCGCTTTAACCGGGTTGATAGACACGGAGGGTCCACCTAGAGGAGTTGGTAAACCCTAATTTTAAATAATTGGTGCACATGAACTCCAGGATTCTGAGGGATCAAATGGTGTATGAACCAATTGTTGATCACCCGCCACCATGGGACTGCATCTCCTTACGTTGCTTCACCACCTTGTGGATCAAACTTTTAGGTCGAAGGCTCCGGGTGTGACTTCCTAAGAAAACCACATGTTTCGGTTTGGGCACCTGAGCAGTATCCCACCCCTCACATAAATCGGATGATTTATGTGGCGCATATCCATTCGGTGCCTCCTTGTACCAATGTTTGTGTTCAAATAAATAAATTAATAAGAGATAGAAAGGAATGGAATATACATGGTTAGTCTGAAAATATTATGGGTTATTCCTTTTATTATGTAGGCTAAATAATTGAAGATATATCAGCTTAAAATACTTTTTCTGATATCCTTCATAAATATAACTATGAAAGCTAGATACATCATTTATTAATTAATGCCTTATTTCTATCAAATGAGATCATCTCAAATGTATAATTATACTTTCTATACTGTCCATTGTGCTAATATATCATTACATATTTCTGATGATCTTCGTTTTCTTATTACATTATCGAAATTTATGAATAAAATAATGAGAATATGAGACATAAGGGGGAATGAAGTAACAATAATTAAGGTCAAGGTAACAATAACGATAGGACGTACTTCTTTTGTACGCATAGTTCTGGCTTGAGCTCATGGATGATAAGAGCATAGGCTATTTTTAGTAGTTGGATACGAAGAAATTTACGTAGATTTGAACGAATCGTACATACAACCTTAAATTCAAACTAAAGATCCGTAGATGGATTACAGTCGATTAGGTGTTCAAATATACAACTTTTAACTGCCTTCCTCGTGCCCTAGTCATCTTATTACATTCACGTTATAATTTATTACTAATTTACTAAGTCTATTGTTATTATTCGTGTTACGTAATCTAATATTATAATTTTTCTATTACGTCATCTTGGTTGTTCGTGTTCACTGTTCCTCATGGAACTAGGATTTTAACAAAAAACATTTTCATATATATACGATTGTACAGCTTGATAATAAATTCGTTGAAAAGAGATCCCTTCACTGAACTTCGTGTTTCTAATTTGAAATGTTGAAAAAACTACTGGCACATATAGTTTAACCAGATTACAAGCACTTCATAAATAAATAGACTGAATGTATTACACAGAAACTCATTAGTATTACTTCTCTACAGTTCATACTAAATCTGCCCAACAAATACTCGAAATGTGATCATGAAAAGTTTATTTTACAAAATTCAACCCATACCAGCCTAATTCCTTCAAAATACCTCCCATATTCATTATTTGTAGCATCTATGGATGTCATTTTAGGTTAAATTATTTAGATGCCTCATTATTTCATGTACCGATGATTTCAGAAACTTCATTTCATCATTAATCATCCAGACAATCAGTTGACAATCAAGAAGTCTGACGTACTGTATGCGTTCTGTAATCCAATGTTCCATAATTTCAACCTTCGTAGATAAATGAATACTATGGTGAGACTATAATTTATGAACAACCTCTGAGCGACACTAAAGTGACCTTGAGAGTATCCACCTAGTAACTAGGACCAAGTGAGGGTTATAAACCAGAGTGAGGGATTAGAATTACAGTTGATGGTTAAGGTTAGGAATTAGATTTAGGGTTTCTATCACGAAGTGATATCAGCTATAATGCCAAAACTATATTTGACCCAATAGATGAGTGAATTTCACGCCAAAATCCGAAACCTGTAATCTTATACGTGGTTGGTTCGTCCATAAATCATGGTATCGCCAATACCATCAGAAAGTCTCTATCTTGAACGAAATAGTTTTCCAAAGTTCTCTAATTCTCCAAGTAATATCGATTCATAATCGAGATGATCTTCAAGCAAATTCCCGAAAAAATCTCCTACCTAAATGATGAAATATTTTCTAACTCTCTGAATGAGGATACTTGAACTATATATGCTAATTAGCAATGATAATCATTTAATTTTTATCACAATATCTATGATTCTGGTGAATGGCCTGTTCCTTCACGAAGGGTAACAAGAGTCAGGAAGTAAATAAGTAATATATGATTTTCATAGTTGAGATCATGAGTCAGTTGAAGCTAGACCACCATGGAAAACCTGGAAGCGCTGCACGACCGTTTCGTCCTATTGTGGGGCTCCTCACCAGTGCGCATCCACGATCCTGCTCACGGGATTCAAACCCAAAGCCTTCGGTCTCGCGTGCGAACTCTTAACCTCTAGACCACTGAGCCGGCCGGCATCCAACAGTGTTCATGTCTAACTTCAACTAATCCACGAAACTGAGCGACACATCCCCCATTGTCATCAGTGAGTTACTATCTCACAACAGACCAAGTTGAACTCCACTGGTCACTTCTCCTCACCAGAACTCCAGGAAATACCTCTTGAAGCCAGTCACTAGTGAGCATATGTTGATCTAGAAGTGTAAAGGTTAAGCGTTCGTGTGTGGGATCGACAGATCCTGTTCCGAATCTTGCAAGGCGAGATCGTGGATGTGCACTACTTAGGAGTCCCACAATAGGACGAAACGGTTGTCTAATACTTCCACGCTTTCCATAGTAGTCTAGCTTCAATTGACTCATCATCTCAACTATTAAAATTACTTATCACTAAAAAACCCTTTCTGATATTAATATATGATTAACTGTAACATTATTATAAAACTGACTTACTGAAATATAAATAATAACTAACATATATATACTTCACTAAAATTTTCAGTTAATAATTTTCTAAAAAAAAAGTGAAATTTTAAATAATGTGCTTGTTTTATTTGTGTTTCATTTCATTTCATTATATCCAATCAAATCGTATTGATCAAGTGAGTAACCTTGAAGTAAACGATAACCAATCAGATTTAAGAAGAAGATACGTATTTTATTATCATTTATTCAAGTATATATATATGTTTTATGCACATCTTTAAATAAATCAAGAAACTAAGCTAGTCAATCAGCTGATAGATGCACCATTATATAAGATATATATATATATATATATATATATATATATATATATATATATATATATATATATATATATATATATATATATATATATACTGAAAGTTACTATAATAAAAGTAACCTATTTTTAATCAATCATATTATGATGTTGTGTTTTCAAAGAATTGATAAAAAATCATTTGAAAGTTGATCGTTTTGTAAAGTGGTCAGGTTAAATAATAAGTAAATAGAAGATCGAATAATAGTAAGTAGAAATAATTGTTTTGTTGGTGAATCATTGTACTTAAACAACTGTTAACCTACTCCTGAACTCCCTTAGTAATGATACTCAGTAATATATGGACCAATTAATAAGACTTTAAGAATTAGCGAGTTGAGATCATTAACGCATGTGGTATACATTCACCATTGCCCTATTCTCAAGTATAACAGTAGAATAAAAACCACTAGGCATGATTATACTAAAACAAAATACGAATTTCATACACATAGTTGCCTTTATCATTTTGAAAAGAGCAAGAACAAAGATTCTAGTAGAATAGCATGAATTCATTTTTATTTCGTTGGTTCTGGTCAGCTGCTTACAACCTGTGATATTTGAAAATCATAATTATATAATGGGTTTAAATTACTTACATGAGAGGGTTTGGTTGGAAGTTATATTGAAGACATATTCGTATAGTATAGCAAGGGTTTAAATAAATTCAATAGATTGCATATTGTCAATATATGTTCCTTATGTGAAAGAACATCCTACAACATTGATTGTGACAACAGTTCAAACGGCTAGAAACAAGTGATTACATAATGAATAAATATTGATCCGAATTTAGTGAGTAAAGCTCAGTCGATAAAATAAGATTATTAGTTTGGAAGTTAGTTGAAATAAAACACGATGATGTAATAAATGCAAGAAAGAGTTTAGAGTAAAAGAAAAAATTTCAGATGAAGCGGGGGAGTATTTGTCTCCTTTTGAACACATAAATCATGTTTTTGGCGTCTAGTAGCAACAGCTTCAGTAAACGTCAGAAGACTGGATTTTGGCTGCTTACTAATCACCTTAAACGATTGCAATGTGTCTATCGACCTGATGTCCTGTATCAAGGAGATGTTTCGTAATCGCAAGAAAGACTCCAAACAGTGCATGTTATCAGTTCTGGAACGGAAAGTTTACAATCTATGGTTAGTGATGCCCAGTAACTTGAGTTTAGTCGGTCACAATGTCACAGTGCCATCTATACTACTTTACTTTATTCCCCGTTTTTAAATCAGATTTCATGTACTTTTGGTGTCGATAAGTTATCCAAGATAGATGATCTAATTATCAAGTAATCGATAGTGAAATCTTCTCATTTGAACAATCTAGCTCAGAGTCCTCAAAAAATACAAAAAAAATTCACTTAAGCTGCAAATATTTCTTATAGTTTACTTTCGTAGAGGAATCTATACTATTTATTTTTCTTTCCCTTTATTTCTTCCTTTATTATTTTTATCCTTTCTCTAGATGTGCTAGTGTTGAAGTGTAGCAACTTTAGCCGATATTCATTCATGTTAGATCTTAAGGTATTCATTAGTGATTGTCTAGTATGTTGATCATTTCTCTCTTTCTCTTTCTTTCTCATTATGTTTTGCTAGTAATAACAGTTAGATGTTGACAAACATCAAGTTTGTTTCAATAAATCGACTTTTATCCTCAACTTTTAAGTGACATCTATCTTACTTACTTACTTACTTACGCCTGTTACTCCCAATGGAGCATAGGCCGCCGACCAGCATTCTCCAACCCACTCTGTCCTCGGCCTTCTTTTCTAGTTCCATCCAATTCTTGTTCATTTTTCTCATGTCTATCTCCATTTCTCGGCGTAATGTGTTCTTTGGTCTTCCTCTTTTCCTTTGGCCTTGAGGATTCCATGTGAGGGCTTGTCTTGTAACGCAGTTGGGTGCTTTCCTCAATGTGTGTCCTATCCACTTCCAGCGCTTCTTCTTGATTTCTTCCTCCGCTGGGATCTGGTTTGTTCTCTCCCACAGTACGTTGTTGCTAATAGTGTCCGGCCAATGGATATGAAGTATTTTGCGTAGACAATTGTTAATAAACACCTGTATCTTCTGGATGACGGATTTCGTAGTTCTCCAGGTTTCTGCCCCATACAGTAGAACTGTCTTGACATTTGTTTTGAAAATCCTGACCTTAGTGTTGGTTGACAGTTGCTTTGAGTTCCAGATGTTCTTCAGTTGTAAATATGCTGCTCTTGCTTTGCCGATCCGCGCCTTCACATCTGCATCAGATCCACCCTGTTCATCAATGATGCTGCCCAAATACGTAAAGGTTTTTACATCTTCCAAATCTTCTCCGTCAATTGTGATTGGATTGGTGCATTCTGTGTTGTATCGGAGAATCCTGCTTTTCCCTTTGTGTATATTGAGACCTATTGCTGCTGAGGCTGCTGCCACACTGTTCGTCTTCTCCTGCATCTGTTGTTGCGTTTGGGATAGAAGGGCCAGATCATCTGCGAAGTCTAGATCATCCAACTGCATCTTAGATGTCCATTGTATCCCGTGCTTCCCTTCAGATGTTGACGTCTTCATGATCCAGTCAATCACCAGGAGAAAGAGAAAGGGTGAGAGTAGGCAACCTTGCCTAACACCGGTCTTCACTTCGAACGACTTTGTCAACTGTCCTCCATGCACGATTTTGCAGTGTAATCCATCATATGAGTTCTGTATGATATTGACTATCTTCTGAGGCACGCCGTAGTGTCGAAGAAGTTTCCATAGTGTTGTTCTGTCCACGTTATCAAATGCCTTTTCGTAGTCAATGAAGTTGATGTAGAGTGATGAATTCCATTCGATTGATTGTTCCACAATGATCCATAGAGCTGCGATTTGGTCTATACACGATCAATCCTTCGGGAATCCTGCCTGTTGGTCACGAGGTTGGGCGTCTACGCAGTCCTTCATACTGTTTAACAATACCCTGTTGAAGACTTTTCCCGGTATTGAGAGAAGAGTGATGCCCCTGTAGTTATCACACTTGCTGAGATCGCCTTTCTTCGGTATTTTGATCAGAAGTCCTTCTTTCCAGTCTGTTGGTACTTATTCCTCAACCCAAATCTTATTGAAGAGAATGTGGAGTATCCTTGCAGTTACTGCTACGTCTGCTTTTAGTGCCTCTGCTGGAATGTTGTCTGGTCCTGCTGCTTTGCCACTCTTGATTTGTCTGATGGCCATGCTGATTTCTCCAATTGTTGGTGGACCAACATTGATTGGGAGGTCCGTGGGTGCTGCTTCGATGTTGGGTGGGTTCAGTGGAGCTGGTCGATTCAAGAGTTCTTTGAAGTGTTCTACCCACCTGTTTTTTTGCTCTTCAATGTTAGTGATTACCTTGCCTTCCTTGCTTTTCACTGGTCGTTCTGGTTTGCGGCGATTTCCAGAGATTTTCTTTGTTATGTCATACAATTGTCTCATGTTTCCTTCTCTTGCAGCCTTTTCCGCCGTCATTGCTAAATCTTCCACATATTTACGTTTGTCGGTTCTCATGCTCCTCTTCACCTGTTTGTTAACTTCTGTGTATTCAGCTTGTGCCTTGGCTTTTTCTGCTCTTGTTCGGCTGGTATTGATTGCTGCCTTCTTGTTCCTCCTTTCTTGAATCTTATCCAGTGTATCAAGTGATCCATTCCTTGTGATGGTGCTTCTTGTGACTCAGTACCTCATGATATGTTGAAGTGATTGCCTCTTTGATCCCCTTCCAGTTCCTCTCCACAGTAGTTCCTTCTCCATTGAGCAGATCATGAAAAGCCTGGAACTTGTTGCTGAGGACTATCTTGAATTTGTTGAGTTTGTTAGTATCCTGAAGAAAGGCCGTATTGAACTTTTGTGATATTGTCCGCCCCATTGTCCAGTGCTTCTTGAGTTTCAATTTCATCTTGGCGACCAGCAAGTGATGATCTGATGCTATGTCAGCTCCTCTCTTGGTTCTCACGTCCTCTATAGTCCTCCTGAACATTTTGTTGATGCAAATATGGTCGATTTGGTTTTGTGTAGAGTGATCCGGTGAAGTCCATGTGGTTTTGTGTATGCGTTTATGTGGGAATATGGTGCCGCCTATGACCAGCTTATTGAAAACAAATAGATTTGCAAATATCTCACCATTTTCGTTTCTTTCTCCCAGTCCGTGTCGTCCCATGATGTCTTCATATCCAGTGTTGTCCGTTCGAACTTTGGCATTTAAATCTCCCATCAGAATGGTCAAGTCGTTTATTGGGCACTTCTTGACGATTGACTGCAGCCTATTGTAGAATTGATCTTTATCGTCTTCATTGTAGTCGTTGGTAGGCGCATAGCATTGGATGATGTTCATTGAAATGCCCTCTTTGTTTGTTTTGAAGGAGGCTTTGATGATCCTTTGTCCATGAGAATCCCATCCCATAAGTGCATTTTGTGCTTGTTTGGACAGCATGAATGCAACTCCTTGTGTATGTGAGGCATTTTCTTCATCATGGCCGAAGTATAACAGAAGCTCCCCTGAAGTTAGTCGTTGTTCTCCAACTTGTGTCCAATGTGTTTCACTGATCCCAAGCACCTCTAGGTTGTATCTCCTCATTTCTGCAGCAATTTGGAAGGCTCTCCCGGTGTCCCACATTGTACGAACATTCCATGTACCTAAATAAATGGTCGCTCTGGTTGTCAGAAGGGGCATCGGCCTCGTAACTTCCGAAGGAATTCGGCTTTCATCATGAGGCGTCATAATTCTTCTAAATGAAGACCTTCTGACTCCCAGGGCAGAGTTTAAAATGGTTTGAATAATTTTTTCTGGTTAGAGTTTTTTTTAGCGAGTTAGTTTTCTACGGGATGAGGACGCTAACCCCATGCCCAACCCTCCTCCTTTATCCAGGCTTGGGACCGGCAGTAGCCCCCAGAGGGACTCCAGGCGGAGTTTGTGACATTTATCAGTACACAATAAATATCTTACTGTATTGTGTTTTTCATTTGTAGTTAAAATGCAATTCAATTACAACTCAGAGATAAAATAAAATATATAGACAAGTTGTCATTAGATATGACCTTTTCTAAGTATGATTGACATCATACTAAAATAATTTGACTAATCTAAATAAACTAATGACAACGTAGGTATCATTATCAAAGTTTGATTTGATCATTTCGAATAAATTGAACATTGAGTAGATTGTTATAAATAAAAATTATCTATTTGTAGATATCCCAATGAGTAGAAAAATTAGATTTTCTGACGTTTCGTAACTCAATGTAAGTCACTTCTTCAGAGTAAATAAATAACCCAATCAAAATTAATCCAAGTTTAAATAGTACAAAGGAACATTACTAGAATATTAGGTGAGGTCAACCAGGAAAATCAGGTTTGAATAAATCAATGTCATGTCATTTCGGCCTAGGTGATTCACATGAAACATATTTCTGTATCTGTGTAAGTGTATGTGTGTTCTGTTCAAAAGAAATACCATGGATTAGTACTGCAATTTTACCATACTGTCATGGCACAACAGAACTCCAAAGAATCTTAAAACAACACAAAATTAAAATATATTACAAAACAACCAACACATTTCGAAATACTTTAGTTCTCTTAAAAGAAAAATCCCATTCATGTCAACACAGAACCGCGTCTACAAATTAGGTTGTATCGATTGTGATACCTTTTTATATTGGACAGTCAACTCGCGAAATCTTGACTCGAATCAAAGAACATATTAGGTACATAAACAAACCTCCTAATAATCCCGTAAAACTGGATAAACTTCAAATTAAATCGGCAATAGCAGTTAACGCCATTTTCAACGACCACCAAATCGATTTCTCAAATATCAAAATATTACAAAATGATTTTTCCAATTACAAACAAATGAGAGTAGCTGAAGCGTTCCATATAATGCTTAATCCTACTGCTCTCAACAGAAACGAAGGGCTTATCATATATCCTACTTAGACTACTATCGGTTGACATTAAGCCCACGGTATTTAAGATTCCCTACCACTCGTTTCTTAGACATTGTAGTCTGTGAAAAAAAAATTTATTAATCGGTGATTGGTGTACTTGTTTTGCAAGTGTGTACTGAAGTGAAAATGAACAAAACTTTTGTCACCTTTAATAATTTTGTTATTAAGTAAGAAAGAAAGTTTAGTTCAGTGAAGAGTTCTCTTTTCGGCGAATTCATTTTCAAAGCTGTACAATCGCAAATATATATACTTATTTTTACAGGGTGATAATAATACTGATAATAAACTTCTGTTATACATGGTGACAGTGAGGTTAGATAAACAAAGGTATTAGAAAAAAATTTTTTTTAAACAAGGAAAGTAAATAATCGTTTGATAGTTAATGGCTTAAGTATTCATCGGATAAGGATGGCTCAGCACGATAAAATAAAATGTTGAAACAGAGATGAAATGTAATCGGAATGATCGTGGAAATAAAAACAAACCGGTTGGGGGTAGAAGATTTGAGGGGAAGAAGGAAAGTGAAGCAGGTGGCTGTAAGGGAACAAGAGTATGAAGAAAGAGAACAATTTTAATACATTAAGACCATGGTAGGAGTAAGGGGTTGTACCAGTCTCTTTTGTACACATAATTCTGGTTTTTCAAAATGTATGGCTATTGCCTCGGCAATGCAAAGAAGATGCAGTCTAATTGTCTTAGGAAGGCTTCTACTTACCTTGTAGATGACTTTGAACGCAGAGTCTGTCTTGATTGAGTGACCTGTGTTCACAAGGTGTTCGATTATAGAACTTCTTATTGAGCCGTTTATTAGAAAATTTTGTAATTGGTGGTAAACTGTTCATCTTTGTAATCTGATTAGTTGAAATCGAAATCGCTTCAAGTGCTGTGATTGGATGTCAGAATTTAGATTGTTACATTTGAAATTTAATGATAATGAATAATTTTTTTGTGTAATGTCAGTCTTGTAAGAAATTTAGACTTTTGAAGAAAAAAAACACCAACTTGAGTACAATCCTGTTGTTAGTGAATGTGTATTGAGATAAATTTTTGCTTTCCGATCAAGTGATTTCATGTCAACCTTTAATTGAAGTCGTTAGTTATCTTGCCACGAATACTTATGTGTAACACATAAAAAGCAAGTTTTTGGGAAAACGGAACTGAAAACCAGTTTGAATATGTTATGTGAGCTTTTAATTTTCCGTAATCACTTATCGTTTACATTATAAATTGGCAAATTGCTTACCAGGAAGGTTTGCGTGTGAGAACACTTTGTACCGCATATTAAAGATATCTTGATCATTCAGAAGTTTGCCATAAGAATGGTAAGCATAATTCTTAATGTGGAATGAAACAGTACCAGATATTAGCAGCGATCGCACATTTTCAAACTGGGCCTCTGTTAACCTGCGCACCCATGAATTACCTTGGTACCTCAGGGAATTGCACTCGTGATTGTGATGCACATTCCCACGTACAACAGTCCAGTAGCCGTCTATAATCTTACAATACATGAAGGCCGGACATTGAGTGTTCATGGAAGCCCTTCATGACAAAAAATGTTAATAACATTTATAAAATTACCTCCTCCGTCTGATCCGCTGTGACGAACCGCTAGATGTTATACGGCCATGTCTCCAGCACACAAATTTAATGTACGAGTTTTCATTTCTGCACAAATGCGAATCTCGAACTACATAATGACAGTAAGTTGATCTTTCATAATTTGTGATAGCGGACTTCAACGCTTCAACCGATGGGAACGCAACGAGAAACAAGGTTGTCAAAAAGACTTCCTCCATTTCTGTTACGTGATAAACAACAGCACTTGTACTCGGAATGATACTCTCCTCCATAATGATGATTAAAATGTACTTCGTCGATCAGTGCTGATGTTTTATAACAATCCGACAAAACATAACTAACAAATTAAAAACGAATTTTAAAACTAGCCATTTCATTGGACGAAACGGGATGAAAAATATTGCAATTTTGTGTTGAAAAAACATTTTAAAAAGGGGGGGGGGTGGGTGTTAAAAAAATTGCCGTGGGGCTAATGAATTTCACTTACATAAATATAGAAACATGTCTCATATGAATCAGCTGGACCGAAATGACATGACATTGATTTGTTCAGACCTGATTTTTTTGGTTGATCTCACCTAATATTCTTGTAATGTTCCTTTGTACTATATAAACTTGGATTAATTTTGATTTGGTTATTTATTTACTCTGAAGAAGTAGCTTACACTAAGTCACAAAACGTCAGAAAATCTAATTTTTCTGTTTATTGAGATATCCACAAAGAGATTATTTTTATTTATAACTAATGATAAAGTTCGATTGCACTATTTTTGCTATATCTTTCCTTATAATTAAGCTCATTAATTATGAGTCTTCTGACAAAACTGCTTTATATAATATTATACACAATATTCCTATCCGTCCCTAAAGTTATCAATCACAATACCAGGGAAATCAAACGAGGACCTTGTACTAATCTGTATATTTCTTACTACTTAATGTGACCAACTATACCTGAAATATAGGACCATGACGCAAACATTCGAATATATTTAAGGTACAAAATGAAATAGTAATTTTATGGTTGATTAACAGTCATTTATAAACGTAGAAAGATTTCCATTTGTGTCAAATGGTCACTTAAAATTAGAAGTAAATGAAGACATCATAATCTAATTGTTCAGTAAATACAAATGTGTATCCTTCGTTGCCAGAGATTAACTTTTATTCTCATAGTCTTAATAATATTCTAACCTTCAGCTTGAAATTATGTCTAATTAATCAGATTCATTCATGTTAAATATTCTTAATAGGATTTTGTTATTTGTAATAATCATGTGATTCTCCAACTTAATATCGTATATATATAATAGTTAAGTATATTACCAGTCAACTCCACCTGTAGCTTTTCTAGAGTTACTGTCGGTTCCAAGCCTGGATAAAGGAAGATGGTTGGACGTGGAGGTTGGTAACCCCATCCTGTAGAAAAATAAATCAGATCAGAATAAACATTACTAGTCTTGTAATCCAATATACTATTTTAGCAACTTTAAACATATAAGATAAACAGACCAACCTAAATATATAAGTGAAATATTTGTGATTTAAAATTAGAAAATAACGCTTACCATCATAAAATAATATTCGTCTAAGATAGTTTGAAGTAAAACATGATGGTCATGTGTATCTGTATGCTTTATAATTTATTTACACCTTTATAACAACATTGAAGTACACACAAACACACACACACACAGAGAGATTCATCATACAGAAAACCAATATGGTTATGTAATGAATAACATAAGAAGTGTACACTTTATCATATTTCAAACTGAATCATATAGAAATAACATAATATTCAATTGGAAAACTTATATTGTATTTGCTTAAACCAACTAATTTTATATTGATTTATCTAGTTTTGTATAAAACACAAACTGTTATGACTTTTTTACTTACGCCTGTCATTCCTCGTGAAGGAGCATACGCCGCTCACTAGCATTCTCCATACAACCCTGTTATGGACAATCCTTTACAGCTCTTTCCAGTTGTTATTCATCCTTTACATATCTGATCCTGTTTCCCGACGTAATGTGTTTTTTGGCCTTCCGCTTTTCCGTTTCCCTTCAGGATCCCAACATATGGAGTGTCAAAATTAGTTCATTTCATATTCTACGATAAAATTACCGAAAATCGTCCGAAGATTTTAATCGCTTATCGTATGAGATTAGAAAGCCCTATTACTATCTTAGTACCTATTCTTTGAACACGTTCAAAAACATCTTCATGTTTAATTAAATACCAGTTATTCACCAAGATACTTAGTTCAAAATGAGGTCATAGATATGTGAGATATAAAGTTCGAAACCTTTCTTTATAAAAGCATTTGAATGATCTTCTAAACAACTGCAACGCTCGAAAACTGATAACAGCTACTACATCGAGATATACAATTGTTGTGCCCAGTCAAACACTTCCCTAACAATAACTAGTCAGCTTGGAAAATATTCACCATCTCCCAAATATATCTTCGAACCCACTGACTTCTGTTTTGACTGGTCTTGAAGTCTTCGATTATAAGGGTGTTATGGACAACAGCGCCATCAAAAACTAAATATCCGTGACATCTTCAGCTGTCTCTTCCACTTAGGTAAGTGATTTCCAAGTTAGGGATAACTGGTACACAATAAGAGTGGATATGAAACTCGTTCTGTTGGGGAAGATGGAACATGAAAGATTACGGAACTCTTTCTGGATGGAAGCTTGTGAATAGTGGTCTACCACAACATACTGTCCTATGTTCCTTGGTATTTCTTTTGTGGACTGACGAGTTTCTCTCATATTTTTATTTGCAGTTGGTGTGAAATACTGACTGTGAAATACTCAGTGACATTATGAAGCTAGTGATTCAATCTGACTTAGACTAATCGTTTGGTTCGTCTAAATATTGTTGCTTTGGGATAAACTTGCACCAAAGCGTATTTTACTGCACTGATAAAATAAAAGCCATCAGTATGGATTACAGATGGATTGTAAGTCACGAATTGCAAACAATTGTATATCTCGATGTAGTAGCTGTTATCAGTTTTCGAGCGTTGCAGTTGTTTAGAAGATCATTCAAATGCTTTTATAAAGAAAGGTTTCGAACTTTATATCTCACATATCTATGACCTCATTTTGAACTAAGTATCTTGGTGAATAACTGGTATTTAATTAAACATGAAGATGTTTTTGAACGTGTTCAAAGAATAGGTACTAAGATAGTAATAGGGCTTTCTAATCTCATACGATAAGCGATTAAAATCTTCGGACGATTTTCGGTAATTTTATCGTAGAATATGAAATGAACTAATTTTGACACTCCATATGGTACATAGTGATTTGGCTGTTAACACCCTCAATCTTTTGACTTCCTCGATGATTAATCATTAACGAAGCCACTATTAAAAATTCCAAAGCTTCAGTCAAATAGACTCCATATGGGTTCGCTTTTGCCGAGCATCCGAATACTGTGACTCCTACCAAAATATATGGCACCGGCTCCATCGGTGAACGCTTCAGGAGCGAAACTGGATCTTCAGTAGAAAACGTGCCACAAGAACTAACATAGATCAGTGGACCTAGTTTTCTGCTATCAAAGATAGAAGATTGAAATCACTAACAACTGATACGATCTAACCAGACTTCGAATTCATATACTCGTAAGGATCCAAACTAGCATAATAAACCAAATCCATAATAGTTCTCTTAATTCTGCTTGTTTTGTATGCATATGTATGTCCATTTTCAAGCCCACGCGGTTCCGAACTCCTTACCTACGACCACACGGCAGTGGTCCATTGTCTTAAGATGATGGCTCACTGTTACCTCAAGATCGTTTTAAGGCCGGAATACGGTTTCTGACTCTTCCTCCATGTTCCACCTACTTACTTTTGTGTCCCTTATGTTCCCGTAGATACACTTGGTCACACTGGTAGGCATCAGTCATTTTTATCCCAGCTAACCAGAACATCTAGTTCCCCTTTCAGTACCCACGCATCTGTATCTCATGTTACCTCTCTCCAAACTTTTATGTCAGTGCAAAGTCAACTCACCTTAGCCGAGTTACGTATTGAACATCGTAGTCAGTGGGAGAGCAATATGCTGTCCAACTTATCTCAAGATCTGGCCTCGTTTATTTTCTGTGTCTAAAGTGCTAGGCCCGTTAGTCCGCGGTGAGCGACCGACTTCATAACTTTGTTTTCGAATCTAGTCCTTCGTCTAGAAGAGGCTCCTAAGTGAAAATTGTCACAGAATAGTTCATAATAACCTCTGGTTTGTTGTGGTCTTTCTCTATCGTTTGAGATCCACTCATTTCTGTAGCGTGACCAAACCTTAATTTATGTATATAGCAGTTGATATATTTTAGTTTTGTTGTCATATGGCTGAAACTTACCACACACGTGACTTTTATAATATGAATGGAAAACACTTGTACTGTTCACATTTTAAGCAGATAACCATTGATTAACATGGTGTTCTAATGTGGCTTGTTAGTAAATTTCGGCATACTGGTCCATCCTTCTATTTATTTATTTATTTTCCTCATGCCTGAGTATCTCACAGTCAGCGAACATCGTATGGATGTGAGTTTTATGACCGAAACACTAACCACATACGCACTCGAACCACCGTTCTCCTAACTGCTAGAGCACGTGTAGTGGAACTGAGCCCTAGCCACACAATCCTCAAAGCTGAACACGGTACAACTAGGAAAATAGATATTCAGCATTTAAAGCGCAGAAAAAACCAAAAAGGAATAACGCGGAATCATTTATTCAGTTCATTTGGATGGCATGACTCAGCCTTGTAGGCATGGTCATTCTTGTGTGTTGTCTTATCACTTGTACTCATATCAAATACGTTGTTCTATCTCCATCCTAAATGTGTTCATCATATATTGGTGATTATTACGATATGATGAATAATTGTAGACAATGATGTGACTTCCACGTAAGATCTTATAGATTAGGCAGTTGCATCATGACAAGTTTACGATTTTAGGATTAGGTCCATTATTAGAGAGGTACTGATAACGATGCAGACTATAGTTCTACACTCACACTTGACCAATAGTCCACACCAGCCATAATGGGAGGGACTGCAGTACTGACATACGTCGGTCAATTATTCACGATAATCATGACCAATAGAACTTCCACACTTTTAATATAAGAACCAGCTCGTTTTCTATGTGACTTGAGGTTATATAGCTTCAATATAACATGCTCACCTACATCAAACCCATCAAGTGGTTAATCTGTAGGACTCCGATTATGTCGCTGACCAC